CTCACTCACCTCTGTGAAGCACATGCTTAACTCTTTGGAGTTATTGGCCTTCAGCCCCTGTTCCTGTGGAAGAGAAGGTGCTAGTAAGGACGGGCCACCAGAGCCGGCTCTCTGGCCAACTTTGTCCCGTGACTCAAATGAAACCAAATATTCCATGGCCCTGCCACCCACCACTGATGTCATTAAGCACAGGGTGCATGAGAAGATGCTGGCTGAATCCCAGGCAGCTTCTCACACCATCAGCACTGAGGTCCTGTCTCCCCTGGGCTCCTGGACAAGAGACTGCTAACTCTGCTCCCCAACTTAAGGCATTATATAGTAATAAGCCATTTGCATGTCTGTCGACTATGCTCAGAGCTCCTCTTGACGAGGCAGGGACCATGGCTTCTTTTCCTTGCATGGGGCAGTGTCTGGCCTGTAACATCAGCTCAGTAAATGCTTTCCTAGATGCATAAAAGGATGAGTCAATGAACGAATGTCATAGATCAGAACGGGGATCCAAGTGCCAGCTCCAAAAAGCTCTTAAGCCCTTATCTGGGCTTGTGGGGAAGAGAACTGTAATTGATTAGTGATGTCTGCCACTGGTGCATGTTAGGAAGGCATCGGGCAACAGGGCCAGGTGCTGGCCAGTCTACCCTGAACAGATGTGTGGCACCTGGGAGCTCGGGGGCCAAGGCGAGGAATGAAAAAGGAACGCTGGCTTGCTGATGATTCCAGGGTTCTCTATTCCTGGCATAACCACTTGGATGTGGGACCAGAGGGTGTGCATGAGGAACCATCCTTTGTTACTGTCATAAAAATGATCCATGGGAACCAGCTGGGGGACATGGTGTTTCTACCCTGGCTTCAAACGGCTTGGTTCCCAAGGCACTTGCGGGGAATCTCTGGCCACCAAAAGCACCGGGAAGCCCAAGAAATTATTCCTAAATCACTGCTCTTGGCCAGAAGTATCAATAATCCCTTAAACATCATAGGCAATCTACCACCCAGGGCATCTGGTCAGCCAAACAAGGCCCCAGCTGTCACACAGAGGCCAGCCAAAATCAAAGTCTCTACCAATGGTGGAGACGTGAGCACGGTGACGATGAGCACAACAGGAATAGAACCGGGGACCTGACCCAGGAAGATCTCGTTCAAGACTATGGTGCCAGTGACTTCAGGTGCCAAGATCCAGCCCGGTCAAGCCACCCACCTTTGTCCCTGCCGAAGGGCCCTCTGGAACCCAAGGACTGGATTCTAGCACCCCCCCCCCAAGCGCAGCTCCAGCCAGGGCGGTGGGAGGCCACTGCGGGACAGAGCCTGCCCACTCCGCCTAGGGGCTGTGCTGTCATCACAATCTTCCATCCAACTGCCCTCCTCTTCAGCAATCCACCCTCGGGCACCCCTCTGAGCAACTCGCAGCATCTGTGCCATCCTGTGCCATCCTGCGCCACGTGGCCCAGCCCCCGCTTCTCCTGGCATTCTCTCCGCGCTGTCTCTGCTTCCAGGTCTGGCAGGCCTCTGTCCCCTCCACACAGGTCCTCTTCCGGTGCGCCCCCCCCCCCCCAGTGTCACTAAGCAGCCTGCGTGGAAGCAGAGTCAGGATAAACGTCTTCACCCCCACTCCAACCAAAGCAAGTCTGTTTGGGTTTTGTATGTTGGAGTTATACACAAAAATGATTTTTAAAAATAGTCTACTGCTTCCAAAAAAAAAAATAATAATAAGGTTGGAGAAGACAACTAAACTAAGTTACCTCTGAGGCCTGGCAAGCTGCTATGCTGGGACGCCAGTTGTCAGGGTCCTCGGCACAGGCACGGCCACCTCTGGCTCTGGAGGGTCGTGCCCCAGGTCACCCCACGCGGGGGGAAGCCCGGGGAGCACAGGAGCACTGGGACCAGGGGCTCAGCCAGCAGGAAGGAGGTGAGATCTGAATGCGGACACCCGGCAGCCACGGGCCTGGGGCTGGATTTGCCCCTCAGAGCGAGTGGACTTGACAGGCTCCTCTTAAAAGTAGAGAGGAGAGGGGGCTGGTGGCAAATATTTGAGGAAAAAGGAGGCAGGGTAGGAGCAGGAGGAAAGAAGTCAGTGAGAGAAAAGAGAGTAGAGAGAAAAAGGAGAGGCATACCCTAGGAGCCAAGGAGCACACGGGGGGGGGGGGGCGATAGGGAGGAGCAGGTGGGAGCCTAGGGGGCAAGAGGGAGAAGGGGGCAAGGAACGGAGAGGAAGGGAGGGCACAGAAGAGGAGGAGGGTAACAGAGAAGGAGAGGGAGCTGCAGAGGAGGAGTCTCCATCCTCTCATCAGACCCATGTTAACATGAGAAAAGTGACACAGCTCCCTGGGCCAGCCCCAAGGCAATCCAACCCCAGGGTGGTCTCTGACAGGTGCCTCAGGGATTTCGGTGGGAGAGAAGGACTGGCCTCCACAGAGATCAGGGCTAGGACCCGTGCCCCTGCCCCATGTCACCCACTGTGCATCCATCATCCACAGCATTGACCTGAGTCCTTCTGAACCAATGACAAGTCAGTCCAGCAGGCTCCGGGCCGCCGGCCATACGCTGAACGTGTGCTGAATGCCCAGGTGACATCCGGGGCTTCCTCTTGCTGTCCTGAAGTACTTTCTTCGGGAGCTCAGAGATCTAGCTCACAGACTTTTATCCTCACAGACCCGTCCAGCCTGTCCCTTTTAAGCCAAAGGGTCCATGGGGCGCCTGGGTGGCTCAGTCAGTTAAGCGTCTGCCTTCAGCTCAGGTCATGATCCCAGGGTCCTGGGATCGAGTCCCGCATCAGGCTCCCTGCTCAGCGGGAAGTCTGCTTCTCCCTCTCCCTCTGCCTACTCCCCCTTCTTGTGCTCTCTCTCTCTGTCAAATAAATAAATAAATAAAATATTAAGCCAAAGGGTCCTAATCCTTGGTGTCCATCCCCACAGAACCACTCCTGGATCTGAGGAAGGAAGAGCCTGAGAGGCCAGAGCCCTGGGCTCGAGTCTTGCTCATCCAGTGACCCAGGCAAGTCACTTCATCTCCTGTAACCTCAGTTTTGTCATCTATAAAATAGGGACAGACCAACGTACCTCACTGGCCCACTGTGACAACTGCACGAGACAGGGCGCACGGCACAGCAAGGCTCCGCACACCCGTAAGGGCTCCTTAATGCCACGAGGCGTGTGGCTGAGCCAAGCTTAGTTTTACATCCTAACACAGGGCCTATGACAAATGCAGGCAGGGCCCAGGAAGGGGCTGGGAGGTGCAACCCAGGGCCGGCTGGAGCCTGGGGCTTCCCCCGCCCCTCCCCCAGAGGAGCAGCCTCTGCCCCAGCCGGACAGGAGCACCTGACTTCCAGCGGACACAGAGCAGACAGTGAAGGCTGCAGTGATCTCCCCAGGGGCCACCCTGAGACCCTCACCCAGCCCTGGCCACACAGAGCAGGGCAGGGGTTTGCCCACCAGCTGACCTTCTCTGAAAGCAGCCTACGGGCAAGGTACAGAGAGAAGGTTCCACTACCTAATGGCAAAACCACCAATGGCTCAAATCCACTGCCTCTCTCGCCCACCATTAACTTTCCCCCACGGTTCCGCAAGGAGTTCCAAAGATGAATGAGTCACAGCCCTGCTGGCACCCTAGTGAGAGAAATAAACATCCACATAGTCACCTCAGCACCAGTAAAGAATACAGGAGCAAGAGAGGCCGCCTCCCTCCCCAAATCCGCCAGGCTGTAGGCTGCCCTCTGAGGCCGTGCCCCCCTAAGGCTGCCTGTGATGCCCATCCCACCCAGTTTTCTTGGACTCCTATGCAACAAGTTTAGGGGAACAGAGGTGAGTTGCTTCAACCCCTGCCCCACCCCCACCCCAACTCTGAGCCTCTGCTCTCCTCAAGGCCAGCTCGGGGACTGTGGGGCTACGGTGTCCCAAAGGCACAGGTTTGGGCTGCAAGGACAGCAGGGGGCAGACCCTTGAATAGTAAATCCCTCCAACGTGGAGGCAGGCACAGGGACTTTGTGCCTTTGGCTGTACTGCACGTTGCTTCCAGAAGGATGAAGTAGCAGGTGGCACTAGGAGACCTGACTGGGGGAAGGGGCACAGACAGAGGGAGAATGGCAGCAAAGGCAAAGTTCATCCTTCTAGAAATTTCTCCCAGAGGGGTTCCTGCCCAGGCAGTTGGAAGGAATTATCTTCCTCCTCTTCCTTGCCCACCTCTGTCCCCACTCCCAAAGCTGGGTCTGGCAGTCCCAGGGCCCTACCAGTCTGGCCTAGGTGCTGGGGACCAAGCCCAGGATTGCATCCATGGCAACACTGTGTCCTCTGCTTCTGTTCCTGGCCCCAGCCCCAGATCTCAGTGTCCTTGGCCACCTCCCTCCTGCCTGGCCCGCCTAGTAACTCACTCCTCTTCCCTTCCACTCCTTGCCACCCCCTCATCCAGCCCTCCTATCTTGCCTACCTATGACTGTCAATGGTGACAAAGATCAAACAGGTCTGCAGGCGTGTCTCCCTTGCCAACCAATGTCTACCTGCGGTCCCAGGTAGAGGCCTTCCCAGATCACAGGGCTCATCTTCCCACCACCACAGTCCCCAGTTAAAGGCCCTCAGTGGCCCCTCCACACTCCCCATCTCAGCCTGCTCATCAGATTGCATTCCCATCCGTCCTTCCCATGTAAGTACCTGGTGTTCTCACCCAACCCAGGGCCCGAGGCTCCTCTAGACCAGGGAGCAGGCAAACATTTTCTGCAAAGGGCCTGGTTAGTATTTTAGGCAACTCTGCCTGTAGCACATGGATTATACATAAACAATGGAGTGTGACTGTGTTCCAATAAAACTTGATTTATCCAAACAAGTAGCAGGCCAGACTCCCTAGTGGACCTGTTCTGTGCTATGCTGACTGCAAGCCCTTGCTCCCACGTGCCCCTCTGCCTGGACACCCCCACCCACTCTGCTCCAATTCCACGGCGCCACATACTCAGCACTCCCTGTTCTCCCAGGCCTAGCAGTGGGGTTAACTCGGCCCGTGGGTCCTCTGCTTCCACTCCCAGTCCAAAGTAGCCCTCCCTCCTCTGGATCCCATGTCACTTTCTCAGTCTTCCTGGTGTGCTGACAGCTTCCTCCCCCAGCTATCTGAGCATGCATCGTGCCCATCCTACCAGCGTGGGGCCAAGGTACTGGCCAAGTGAGCTGGTCAGCCTCGGAGCCTGGAACAGAGTCACACGCAGTAAGAATCTATGTTGAATAAACGAATGAAGGTCCTGATGGACAAATAAATAAACGACTACAAGGGGAACTAGAGCAAGGGAAGAAAATAAGGACTGCATTCAAGTCTTTCAAAGCTTGGAAAGGAGCCATATTAGTGTATCAGAACTGTTGGACACACTGCCAGGCCTCTCTGATGCCCACGGGCCTGGGCACAGAGATCCATCCCGACAGAAGGCAGCATGAGGAGGGGACAAAAGCATCTGAGGGCTGCTGAGCCTCTTGTAGGTGCGTGATGAGTGGGGCTTGCATCAACCCCTCCAAATGCATTTCTAATGCTCCCACATGTGATGGGAAGTATCAAGGGTAAGAGCCAAAACTGGCTGGCAGAGACAAAAACAGCAAAGGAGACTGTGTGGCCAGGGCCCTGCAGCCCCGGGAAAGGCGAGACTTGAGTCCCAGCATACTGGCCTAGAGAAAACCACAGGGAATGCCAAGGACACTGGAAACAAACCATGAGCAGAGAAAGCAAGAGCCCGCTGCCAATCTCGCTGCCTCTCCATCCACACGGCACCGCCCTGGTCCAGGCCCCATCATGTGTCAGAAGAGCCTTCTAAACAATCTTCACGGATCCTCCATAGAAAGACTTCTTCACCTCCCTACCCTCGTGGCAGGCACACAGACAGCAGCTATGAGAAGGAGGGAAGCTGAACAGAGTTGCCTGCAAGCAAGAATGCACACAGAGCCTGTTCTAGAATGGGGAGCAGGAAGTTCCAATGAACCCCATGAACTGGGGACTCTGGGTTCTCTCCCTCAGCCTCTCTGGAGTACCCACTCAGTGCCACGCACTGAGCACCAGGGTACACAGGGCAACAAAGAGGGTGAGAGGCAGCCCCTGTCCCTCAGGGACGCGCACCTGCGAGAGGGAGCCAAACACATCATGATGGGGGCTGAAGTGAGGCGAGGCAGGAGCAGAGTCAGGGGGAACACCCTGAAAGGTGAATCCAAGCAGGAATCACCAGGCAGAGAGAGGAAGGACAGGCACTTGGCTCCAAGGGACTGACAAGTGCACGGGCCAGCATCTTGCTCACCGCAGCCCTCAGGCCTACCCCAGGGGACAGGATGGCTAGGCTTCAGATCAGGGAGGGGACTCACATAGGGGTGTGTGTATGCACACACATATAGGCAAGGCCAGAGGGAGGGGGAGAGACCATTTTGCACACATTTCCTGCCATGCTTTCTCCAAGTTCTAGAGTGTTCCAGGCAGGCAGGGCTGCCTGGAGCGTGGGCTACAGTCAGGAGTGGAAGCATAGGAGAACAGGACTCAAAACAGCATCCAGGATGCCCAGACACAGGGCCAAGTCGGGGGCCTCCTAGCCCCTGGCTCCTCTGTGGACACCCATATTTTTGCTCGGCAGCCCCACGATGTGGACAAGAGTTCTTCCAGCTGTAGACCCCGCCCCCCACCATGGAAAAGCCCTCTAGGGTAGCAGATCTGGAGGAGGATCCAAGGCAGTGCAGCCAGAGGAAACTGTTCAGGAGCTGCAGGCTGGGGGCTCTGGATAAGTTACTATCCTCGCCGAGCTTCCATCCTTTGGGGTTTCAGGAGGAGATCTCAGAAGGCCCTCTGGTCCTTATGTCCAATCACTTATGTGGGGTCCCCAACTGGCTGCCATCTCTGGGTCAGTGAAGGGGGTCCCAAAGGCTTCCCCAAGGGCCTGGGCCTATTGATGGGGAGGAGGACAGAAATAAGTAAAGTGACCTTGCCTCTCCCTCTCCAGGGGCTGTGTGGGGTACACAGTCCCCCCCACCCTCTCTCCCACCCTGGCCTCAGCCTCTTGTCTCTGCCCTCACTCAGGGACCCCCTTCTGTAGCCGTGGGTGACTGTCACTCCCAAAGCCCCCACAAAGGCCACCACAGAGCCATTCCAAGCCAGCAGAGCTGAGGGAGAGGGTACGAGCTGGGGAGGGGACAAACCACCCACACGGGCCTCCAGCAGGAAGGAGGGCAGGGAGGAGGGTTTATTCACTCTGCACTCCCAACATCTGGCACAAAGTAGTAGGTGCTCACTGAAGATCGTGATGAAAACAGAAGCAGGGGCCCTTCCCCTTCAGGTTCAGTGAGAAAGAACCAGGTATGATGGTTGCCCCACCCCACCCCCGGGTCTGCATCTCTTCCTTTTCTCCTGGAATGGCCATTCTCAGCTGTCCTGCCCACAGTGACTTAGTCACTAGACTGTGAGTGGGCGGTCACGGGGGCCAGGCCTGGGGAGCCCCCTGCCAGTCAGCCTCCCCAGCCCAGCCACCCCCTCCCACATCCGTAACACCCAGCACGCATGGAGCACTGCTCTGTGCGCAAGCATTTCCCCGTACATTAGCTGACTTGCAGATCGTGTATTAACTCCACTGGAATCAAACCAAGCCTAAGACCAGCCCCCAGATGGTGAGTCTGCAGAAAACCAGGCTGAGGCCAAAAGAAACCAGGCAACAGTTTAGCAAACTGCTGAGGGAAAACCGGGGGTTTTGGGGCGGGGGGAGAGTCAGCCATCAGGCCCTGAGCAGGCTGCAGTGGGGGCAGGAGGCCACGGCCTTGAACTCTTCCACACCCACAGTGAGTCACAGCAAGCGTCCTGGAAAAGCTCAGCAGCCACCTGCTGAGTCACATCTCCCCGTGTAAGCCGGCCCCGAGGGACTCAGGACATGGGGGCCAGGGCAGCGCCTGGTCACCTGACAGGGAGTCCAGCCCTGACCAACGAGCTGCCCAGCACTCTAGCATGAAATTGAGGTGTACTTGTGCAGCAGGCCCCGAGCCCCCGCTGGCAGCCACTCACGCATGGCTAGTGTAATTAGGAGCTGCCCAAGGGTGACAGAAACACCTCAGCGCAGATCCAGAGGGGTGACCTCATGGAGGGGTGCAGGGCACGGGAGGGCCCACCCTGAGTCTGACACGAGGGTACTTGGAGGTCAGCTGTTACAGCACAGAGGGGCCCACCAGGAGGGAAGGGGGGGTGGGCTTCCCAACCAGGACGGGCACCCGCACCTGCTCCCACGGTACGATGGGTCCCAGGGCACCGGAACGCCTCCCCCAGGCCCCAAGTCCTCATCCTAGCACTGGGGGTTTTTCCAGCTTTACTGCGGTTATAACTGACCATCAAAAATTGTATACATTTAAAGGGTACAACCTGATGACCCAAGATACGTATACGCATACTGTGAAATATTCACAGCCAATCAACATATCCATCTCTCCACATCTTTACCATTTGCCTTCTCTTTCCCTTTTTGTGGTGAACACACCTAAGGTTTACTCGCTTAGCATATTTCAAGTACACGGCAGGTCACCATCAGCTAGTCTCACGGCTGTACACCCCCCGTGGATGCCGTGAGCCAGCCACCCCCTCAGACCGTGTCCTCACTGCCTCACAGCCAGGCCCTGCTCTCCCCGCCCCCCGACTGTACTTCAGAGCCCCCCAGCCTTCTTGGGAACTCTGGGCCCGACTCCCCCACTGTACCCCACCACCCTCAATCTCACTGATATCCTTCCTCTGTGCTGACATTCTGCATGAGGACCTCTTTTGCACTCTGTTCTGGGGGGGGGGGGTGTGAAAGAAAGTGTCTGTCTGTGCGTGTATGTGTATGCGGGCGAAAACGTGTATACGTGAGTTGAGCGTCGGAGAAGTGAGTTGAGTGTGTGTGTGACAGCGTGTGGTGTGTTGTGTGAGTGTCCGTGAGTATGTATGCATGTGTTCTGACTAGAACGAACCTCCTAAGCAAAGCATCTACGTAGCCACCGGCAGGAAGGCCTGAGGGCGGTCAGCAGCAGGGAGAAAGGCTGAGTGGGGAGCCCTGTGACGTGCCCCCCCCACGGTGCCACACGTGTCCCCTGTTGTGGTACTGACCACAGCCCATGCCTGATGCTCGTTGATTTGTTTGGCCCCAGACAAGACCATAAGGGCCACAAAACCCAGGACTGTGTCCGTTTCATTCACCAGTGTCTCCCTTGCACCTCACATTCATCCTGGCACACGATGCGTACATAACACATGCTAGGTGGATGGATGGATGGACAGATGGACAAACCAATGAGCATCATGGGTTCTGGAGTCTGACATAGGTTTGAAATCTCATTCTACCACTAACCGGCTGTGTGACCTTGGGTATGCTGCCCAACCCTCCTGGGCCAGTTTCCCGTGAGTAAAACAAGAAGACCAACACCTCGCTGTGTGAAAATGCAATGAAACAGGTAGAGAATCTGCTAGCACAACACCTGGTGATTAGCAGATGGTTCGTAATGGTAGCGCTTACATTTCTATGGAGCCCCATGGCATCTAGCACAATCCTCTGATAGGACAGGTGCTTCACGCTTGTAAGGTGAATGCCCAGGGAACGTCTACACAGAAAACCAGCCCCCAACAGCTCCTCCCTGCCTCAGGGTCCCGATCCAAAGAAAGGAACTCTCGCACCCGGTCCCTGGCCCCCAGCTTGCTAATGTCCCACCCCCACCTCTGGTGTCATGGTGTTTCTCTAGGCCCTCAGCCTGCCCCCGGCTCCTTTCCCCCAGCTGCAGAGCCACGTCCCCTCACCTGGACAGATGTGCAGGTGGTGATGACGCTGGTCCCCAGGCTGGTGCTATCGCTGAGGTCATCTGGCAAAGAAGGTGTTTTCTCCACCCGAGGGGCCTGTGTGGCCTGGAATGAGGGGCTCTTAGGGGACAGGTTCACATCTGTGCCGTTGCCAAAGGCCTGGATGGCATTCCCTGTGGGGGGAGAGAGCAGGTAGGCGCAGAGAACTCGGGGGCTGCCCCTCACATCCCAAGGCCGCCTTCTCTGGAACAACCCAGAGCTGGGGAAAGGCTGTGGCTTGTCCTAACTTAACTTCTCCAGAGCTCCTTTTCAGACACTACTTACATCTCACATGTAGAAAATAAAACAGCAAAAGGGAGGTTGGAGAAGACAAAGAAACCACAAGAGAAAGACATGTGGAAGAGGAAGGGAACAGGGGCAGTGGATATGGGGAGCCTGGAAGGAGGCAGCAGGCTGGGCCCAGGGCACCCGGTGCCGCGGACCACTCCCCCATACCAATCCCCCACCCCCCAAGCCCCGCTTGGCTCCTGCACAGGTTCTCCTGGCTCCAGGTTCCACTGCTGGCGTTCCAGGAGCCCCCGACTCAGCCCTCCTCCCAGTGTGGCCTCACCCACTCCCACACCCTTAGCACCAATGCACTGAGGACTATATAATGGGACCTTTCGGACAAAACTGTCCCTAAGACTTGACCCTGGAACAAAGTGCCTCCAGACATCTCCACCTCCAAGTCCAAGACGCACCTCAAGGTCATCATGTCTACGCCCCAACTAGGCATCGCTCCTTCCCGTAGCATCACCGCTTTCTGGCCATGTGAACAGTCTTGGAGGGGCCAACTCTCCCACCCAGGTCCCACACTGTGCCTCCCTAACCGCCCACTTGCCACTGGTGAAACCCACCTCCTAAAGATCTGTCCACTCCATCTCCCCTCGCCCCTCCCTGCCACTGCTCTGCTTCAATCACACTGTCCTCTCTGTGAGCAGGCCTCTGCCCTCTGAGCAGACGTGTATTGGGTCACCTGTCAGAACCACATCCCCACCCCTCCACACCAGAACCAGAGAGTGGGCCTTCTGCAATGCGGGTCTGGCACAGTGCCACCTGCTGACGCCCCTTCAGTGGCCTGCACCACCATCTCCACCACATGCAGGACTACAAGATCCTAACATCTTTAGGACTGCAAGGCCCTTCGTGAGAAGGACTCTCCCTCCCTCTCCAGGTAACTCCGGGCATCCTCACACTCTCTAGTAAGACTAAGTGGTCTGCAGTTCCTATAAACCACCTCTGCCCAAGGTGGACTGGCATGCCCTCCCTGCCTCGTCAGCTGACAGATGCCCACTGTCCCTCAATGCACCAGCTTCTGAGAAGCTTCCAGGGCCTTCTTCTCTGGGCTGACTGGTATCACCGGTCTGGGCTCCTGAAGAGCCCGGTGCAGACCTCCACCCTAGCATCATTCACCCCATCCTGTGATCGTAGTGACCCCCTGATGGTGTACCTCCATGAGACTGTGAGCTTCTCAATGACAGGCACTGTGACTCATCTCTCTGAATGCCCAGTGCTATAAAGAAAGGGAGGATGGACTGATGGAGTGAAGGAAGAAAGGACAGAAGGAGGGAGGAAGGAGATTTTCAAGTGGGTGGGAGATTGAGCAGATCAAGGCAGGCGGGACTTGTAGCCCACCTCTGTAGCCTTTTGAATAGCAATCCGAAGACTTGAAAAGAAACTCACCAATTCTAAGGGGGAATGGATCCTTAAAGGGACAAGTGACAAATGCCAAGAAGGAACCTGGCTGAAGCTGTCAGGATAACAGACCAGAAACTTTTGACCCTGACTTGACATAGGTTCAAGACCCCCAGTGGTAAACTGAGGCTGGCCTACTGACCATTCAGGAGGATGGAGTCTCCAAGAGCACAAAACCCAAGGTCTCTGTAGGTTGCTGGGGAAGCCCCATATATCCCACTGAGCATCCCGGCGGAGAAAGAAGGGGATGGCTAAGGCAGCTGTGAAGGGCCCCTCTGGGACTCGAGGGGCACAGGGAGGAGCTGGTAGGACTTACGGAGGCACGGGTTCTCAGTGAAGTCCCTGAGGAACTTCTCACACTCCTCCTCCATGTTCCCACTCCCACGACAACTGCACCAGGGGGACACCACGATGCCAGTGGGGCTGGAGTCCACATAGTTGGGTGTCATATCAAACCCTGGGCAGGGAGAAAGGGAAGGCAAAGGAGAGAGGAACAGTGAGGCCTTCTCTTTGGGCCCTGGGCCCCAGACACAACAGAGAAGCAGCTTGGGAACACCCCTCCCTCCAACCTGCCCCCGCAAACACACACACACCCCAACTCACAAACACACTCTGAGCATGACTAGCTCTGCGACCAGGGGACCATGGCCACAGGGGGCAGAAGGGTGCGGACACCGAGGACAGAGCAAGACAGCAGAGGAGGTATCCAGGAGCTGCCCCCACCCTGCTTCCTGGAGCGTGGGCCTTTGCATTCTCCACCAGAAGAGTGTGTGGTCTAGAGCCAGGGAGACAAAGGTCCGCATCCTGGGTGTAGATCCCAGGGCCAACATTTACTAGCTAGGTGAACCTGCACAAGTTCCTCAACCTCTCTAAGCCTCAGTTTCCCCATCTATAGAATGGAGATACCAACCCCTCCCTAGCAAGCACTGGTGTGAGAACTAAAATAAGACAGTCGGTATATACCGCTCAGTGCAGTACCTGGAATGCCCGAGCCATGCAATAAACGTTACTTTCTCATTTCAAAAGCCTTATAAGACCTCAGGGCACCCCTCCACCCATGATCAAGGGCTGACCTCTCTTCTGCTTTCCCACTGCAGAGAAGAGCGAGCTCAGGCCATCCACCCTCTGGCCCTGAGCCGGGTGCCCTGCCCGCGGGGAGCAGGGAGCAGGCAGCCAGGAGGCCCCCTGAGCCCAGGTGCACGGGGGCGGCTTACCAATCATGCCAGCGTACGAGCCCAGACACGCCTGGTAATTGTCGGCAGGGCAGCTGGTGAGCGTCTGGTAGGAGGCACGACAATTGGCGTGGAAGTCAGCCAGCCGGGACCTGGTGTCAGGAGAAGACCCAACGGAGAGAACAGGTTAGTCTGGCTGTCTTCCCACCCTGTCTGCGACAGGGCGGCTCCTCCCCGCAGGTCCCCAGGGCGGGAAGAAGCTAGGAAGATGGAGAGGACAAATACAGGGGGACCCAAGGCTTTGGGGGGCTTCAGGCTGGGAGCTCCTTGAGGGCAGGACTTCCTGGACAGCCAGGGACACAGCTGAGGCATGGCGGGCTCAGGCTGGACCTTTCAGTCAGAGGAACATGGAGAGAACCTGGGGTGGGTTTGCCAGGAATGCCCGGGACCAAGGCAGGAAAGTGGGCTCTGCTCTCTGCTTGGCCACACTCCTGCCCAAGGCCTTCAACACATCACTCTTCCTCCCTGCAAAATGTGCCACCTCATAGGATCTATCTGAGGGTAATGGGAGCCAGGCCCCAGGCAGGTTAAAAAAAAAAAAAGAATCCCCCTAAGGTGAGACACCCATGGCTTTCTTGACTGGCCTCTTCTGAATCAGGTCAGAGCAAAGCCTCCCCTGCTGGCCCTCCCCCTGCTTCCCTGTCCCACGAGGGCAGAATCAGCCCTTTCTTCCCCTGGTGACATCACCTGCCGTCACCCCTTCCCCTCTGTTGGCACCCATGATACTGCTTCATAACCACCTGGGCACCTCCCTCCTTTACCATGAGCCGCCTGAAGGCAGACGCTCTCTGACCCGGGTCTGTCTCCAGCACCTGATGTGGAAGGTCCCACGGAGCCCAGGGCACCCAAGTCTAACCTTCCCCAGCACCGGGCTCCCATCAGGGTGGGCACGGCCATCTCACCTCCCCCCACGCCCTGTCGTCACTTCCTACAGGTGAGTGCCCTTTGCCATGGGGTCCTCATGTACCATACCATTTGTGTCTCATAGCAGCTCCAAGCAGGGAGGAATAAGGTCTTGCTCACTGGTATTTTCCCAATGATGGGCACACAGTAGGACCTCAACAAATAGGTGCTCATTGAGAAGGCTGTGGTAGCTACAGGAAGGGCCAGAGCCCAGCCCTTGACTCCCTGCCCCCACTCTCTCCACACCGTAAGGTACCTCACGAAGCCATCCCAAAGGGTGCCCCAAATTCAGCGTCCCTGGTCCTCCACTGGAGCTCTGTCCCATCTGAGAAAGGAGTGGGTAGAGACAAGAGGTTGAGAGGAACACCCTCAGAGCAGACAGCTGTGTGTGTCCCACCACGGGACACATTCTGGTTTGTCCTGGGGGGTGCGGTTTGGGGGAGAGGAAGCTCTTCAGAGGAATTCAACCCAAGGATGCCTCACACAGAGGTTTGGGAGACAGAAGATGAGCACCAAACTAACTGGCCGGGGACCAGGGTTCTCACTTCAGCTGTACCCCTAATTCACGGAGTGACTCGGGCAAGCCCTTACATCTCTGGGACTCAGTTTCCTTATTTATCAAGTGAATAGAAAGTGCTCTTCGTAAAAGACATTTTCACAGTCTGGGCAGATGAACAAGTTCCGTAGAGGGATGGTGGTGTTGGTTGCACAACAACGTGAATATACTTAATGCCACTGAGCTGCACACTCAAAAATAGTTAAAGTGGGAAGCTTTACGTAATGTATAATTTACCACCATAAAAAAATGATTTAAGAAAAGATACTTCCTCATTCATCCATTTATCATTCAATCCTCACAAACACTGAGATCCGAACTCTTTGAGATATGACAAGCAATTGTTGTTACTATCCCACGTTACAGAGGAGGTAGCTGAGACTCAGAGAAGCTACTTGCCCAAGATCACAGAGCTCCTGAGCAGGGGGGCCAGGCTCCGCCCCAGAACTAAGGACAGGGTGGGGGCCCTTTCCAGCAGGTCTCACTGCTCCCGCGCAGAAGCCCTTGAAGGGTCCTTCCACAGCCAACATCCTGCATCCCTGAGAAAAGGAAATCTGCAGTTGTCTTCCCTCTCACTCCTGCCCAGAAAGACACCCTCTACTCCTCACCACCCAGCCCCGAAACAGGGAGAAGCAGCATTTCTACCCACGGCTTCAGCCCCTGCAGAGTAAGACCTGGTCTTGAAGAGCAAGAGCGTCTGTCCTACCGTGTGCCCTGCACATGCACAAAGGCGCTCTGACAGTGTGAGTGAGGTGGCCTCTGCCCACACCTCAGTCCCCCAGAGACTTGAGGGGGGCGGCAGGGACTTTACGAGGTAGAGGGGATTTGGAGGCAAGTGAAACAACAGCTCTAGGCACATGCTGTGGGCTGAAGTGCATCCTGACTCCCAGTACCAGTGGTGGGACCTTACTTCGGAATGAGCTCCTTGCAGGTGCGACTGAGGTGAGGGCAGAGTGGATGAGGGTGGGCCCTCAAGCCAATGACGGCTGTCCTTATAAGAAGGGGGAAAGGGACACAGACATAGTGAGAACACATGTGAAGATGGAGGCAGAGACTAGAGGGACACACCTGCAAGCCCAGAAGGCCAAGGATTGCAGGCAACACAAGCAGCTGAGAGAGAGGCGTGGAACACATTCTTCCTTCGAGCCTTCGAGGGCAGGGTGTCCTGCCGACACCTTGATTTAGGCTACTGGCCTCCAGAACTGTGAGAGATTAAATTTCTCTTTTAAGCCTCCCAGCTTGTGGGACTTTGTGACAGCGGCCACAGGAAACTCTTACAGCCCCTTCAGGGACTTCACTGGTCACTTTGGCCAAGTGCCTCCCTCCAGAAGGAGCCCAGGGCACATAGTCAGGGCCAACGCTAAGGAGCGCTGCAGGTGGGCAGCATAAAGCCAGAACGGAGTTCCTGCGGGGTGTGAGCAAGGAAGCTACTGGATAACAAGCCAAGCCCCTAGTTTCCATCTCCTCCCCACCAAAGGCGTTCAAGTCATCTCTTAGCCCAAATACAGGAGTGCATTCCTATGCCACTTGATCACATTAAGGCCTGACTCCCTCTCAGCGCCTCCCCAAGGCCCACCTGCAGCCCTTCCCCCTGAAGCCCTTTCTGAGTGCCCCGCTGTGTGGATTTCTCCCATCTCCATAGTCCAGCTACACAGAGAGTCTGGACCATGCAATTCATACTGAACTGTAGAGAGAGTCACTGATACCGCCCTATTTGGTCTCTCCAACTGGAATGTATGTTCCCAGAGTGGCAGACTTTACTGATTTCCTCATCCTTCCTCTAAACACGTATTGAACTCCTGCCACGTGACTGACAAAGGATGGGAAGGGTCTGCGTGTCAGTGCAATGTCAGAAGGGAAATCCCAGCTCAGGGGGTCAGGGCAGAATGGCCACCAGGCCAGGACCCAGGGCTTGAAGAGAAGCACAATGCCCACTGCAGCAGACCTGAGGGGAGCCTCCCAGGCAGTTCCACTCCCTGTGGGCACACGGGGCCTCCTTCCCTTCTGCGAGGTGAGTTCTCCACTCACTGACACCGGGAACCTTGAGGATCTTGCCTGGCCCCACCATCCACGAGGCCTCTCAAAATGTCACTGGGCCCCACAGGCTGGAGGAGGTGCAAAGCATGAGCAAGGAGAATGTGACTGTCCACGAAGAGAGACAAGGCCACTGGACAAGAGATGAGAGAAAAGGAAGCCGAAACTAGGTGAAGGAGTCCCAAGTGAGGGTGGGGGGAAGGGCACATCCAGCTGCTGGGAGATGAGAGAGTATCTGTCCCATGGCCATTCTCTATCGCTCACCGCTGAGTGACCTTGGGCAGGCCTGTCATGGCTCTGAGCTGTGTCCCCAGTTATCAAATTGGGTGAGCCATGCCTGCCCATCTCCCTCACGGGGCTACGTTAGATAGCTGGGGCACTTAAAGGAGGAGTCACCTCATCTTCCTTCTCTATCCAGACATCTTGTCCCCAGCACTGTGCCTGCAAAGCACCGGCAAGTGCAAACAGGGAACAGTGTTTCTTGTGTCCAGTAGAGAAGAAGAAATACCTGTTCAACCTGGTTAGGTGGGTCTGCGTCCCATTCAAGGCAACCTGGAAAGACGGCCCCCTCACCCTGTCCCTCACCACAAGGCTCCAGAGTCACCCTGCTGGCCCCAGGTGCACGATGGCCTCCCTACCCCACTGTTACTCTTCATGTCATTCTGAGGACACAGGAAGAGGAATACAGGCCCCCGAAGCTAGGCAACATGCACAAGGCTCCTTTGCCAGACCCCTCAAAACCATGGCCTACTTCCTGTAAGCTGGCCCGCCGGCTCCGTTCAGAGCACAGGGAAGAGAGGAGGTAGGCCCGGGCCCAGCAGCCAGCAGAGGGGCAGGGAAAGGGAAGGGCCGTGGTAGGCCTTCTGGAATCCTGCGTTTCTCCGTTCTCAGCGTCAAAGCAGCCTTGGCAAGAGAGAGGGCCAAACGGGGCCAGTTAGGAGGATGCCACATCCAAGTCTCCAGAAGGTCTTTGATTGCTCCAACTGTCTGCCCCTCAAGACAGGCTGAAGTCCATGGCGGCGGCCCCCTCTGTCAGCATCAGAGACCCAGTGGTGTCAGTTTCCTTCAAGCCAGCAACACGCTGGACTCCAACCCCCAAGCAAACCAGGCCCATGAACGCTCCTGGCCCAGCCCTGGGAGGTGCATTCTCCAAGGCAAATGTTATCCTTTTCATGATGCACAGCCAGCCACCGGGGCCCCCTGCGCCATCCTCGGCCCCTACTGCAGCTCTTCCCTGCAGACACTGTAAGGCCAGCCCTCTGGACTGCTAGGAACACGCTTTTTCCTTGGCCCACCCCCATCACTCTGCCAGTTTCTGCCTTTAAGAATCCCCACAAGAACAACGGCATAGAAGAAAGCACGAGAGAAAGAGAGACAGACAGACAGATGAAGAAAAGCACAGAGAGCCAGCAAGAGAACCAATATGAACATAAGCCAAGTCCATCCCAGTGAGTGAAGGCTGCCAAATGAGCTCAGGGGCAGCAGGTGGCTCTGTCCGAAAAACACAAACCCTCTTTGAGCTGGTTTCACCAGCAGCTGTAGCCTATTCCATCACAGGGAAGCGACAGGAGAGGCACGGAGAGACACTTGACCCCCAAT